TACATAAACATGTATCACGAGCAGTGAATTTTTTTTTCAAAATCCAAAAAGGTTTGAGTTTATAGAATACAGATCGGGAAATTTTCAATTTTTCAGTTTGCAAAAATTTTTTATGCATATTATCAACTGTGTCCATTAAGTAGCGTTTTCTTTTAGTCATTCCATTTTCTGTTACTACATCCCTGACACCCGGTGCTACACATGAGTTCTCGTCCCTCTCTAAAAACGCAGTAATCGCATCAGATAATGTTTTTCTAATTAGCATTATTTTTTTGTTAGAACGCCTACCAGTCCAATCGCTATATTTATTGATTTTTTCATTATAAAGTTATTGATTTTAGATAATTTATTTAAACACCGATATTTCTTTGCAATTGTACCTGATCTGTTTCGCGCAAAAGTAGCTTTTTCAATTTCTGTATTCAGTTTGGTTTTATTATTAATCAACTGAGCTTGCAAAACTTTTCCAATTAATAAATGCTTCCTAATCTCAGTTTCACCTTGTTTTTCAATTTCCTCCACTTCTCTCAAAATTTCATCTTTCTTTGTGTTTTTTCGCAACTCTCTGTAATATTTTACTCTCCATACATTTCGCTGTCTAACTTTTTTTTTAATAACTAATTTAAATTTTTCAATTTTTCTGCGCAACCTCCTTTCCCTATTGTTCGACAAACGTAAAGAATTTTCCACTTTTTTAATTTCTATTCGCGTTTGTTTTGAAGCGTTATATTCAAACCCGTCTCGACTGTTGCTTTCAATTGGAGCACCTTCAAGATATGACTGTGAAACAATACCTGGGGAGACTTCGTTATTTACTAAGTCACCGTCATCCAAAACATCATCACTTGAGTCGTCACTGTCGAGGTCACTGGCCTGGCTGTCAAGACGTATTTGTTTGAGAAGACTTACTGTTTGTACATTTGTTGATTTCCGTTTTTGCGTAGTCCTGTAATTGACTGATTGTTTCCTTTTGAGTCGGCTACTTTGTCTTGTGATACTTTCATTTTCGATACTGCTGCTGTCACCAATTATTTCATTATTTAACGATTCATCCAGGTATAGGATTTGAGAAACATCAATATTTTTCACGCTGAAATACACAGTAATACATAAAATGAGCATAATTATGTAAAACAGATCATTTTATCCGTGCGTTTAGGTGCAATGTTCTTTTTCGCAAATTGTGCACTTACTGTACGTCTGAAAGACGTTCTTGTCTTCTTTTTTCGTTAAATTCACGAAGATCATCTGCACGTTTCTGCCGCTTTTGCCTTTCTATATCTCTCTTGGCATTCACTTTGTCACGTTTCAATTGTTTATTTTTTTCTTTGGTACTAATATCATCCATTCTGAAAAAAATTACGAGCAACTGCTGTGCTCATATCACATACTTACTGCCGGAGAGTCAGGACGACACTGAATTTTTCGCGCGACTTTCAGTGTTTGCTTACATATTTCAGTAGACGCATAATTCGCTCTATCTGTTTTGAAAGCGAAATGAGAGTTATAGGTATAGTGAGCTTATACATGAATTCATTCATTATATCATATCGATGTTAGACTTTTATAATTTTTATAATTGCATCTTACCAGTCAACGCAATGTATATGAAACTTAAGCACGGTTTAAATATCATGTAAAAACAATAAATATAAATTGGCTTTGGGTTATATATCAATCTGAAAGGTATTTTTATTGTGCCAATAAAAAATGTCTTTTTTCAACATGAGCGGCGCACCGACTACGCCAACTACTAAAGTGTTCAACTCGGATAATTTACAAGGCACAAGCATAACAAAAATAGATTTAGATTAGTAATTTAGAGTAGAACACACTCTAAGTATTTATGTATGAGTTCCAACAAACTTATTTGCAAAAAAAAATAAAGTCTACGAAGTTTTCGATTTTTTTATAAAGTGAATTTCACTTACATTTGAATTTTTTATTTTGTGTCTAATAGAAGCACATGCATGAGACCGATTTTATTACAATAATATGGTGAAGATTAACTTACAAAAAAATTTTGAAGCAATTTGTTCAAGACTTTTTTTTTACAATACAAAGAATCAAATTTTCTATAGCGAGTAACACATTAAATTGTTGCACAAACGATACAATTTCGATTTATAGCTTTATATCTATAATTGATGGCCTAAAATAAATAAATGGAGGTTGCTAGTCATCATTTTTTGAACAAAAAACCTTTTTTCAAATTTCGAATTCCTCTTAGTATAGCCCGAATATCATGGAGTAACTTAAATTTTTAAAGTTTTAGGGATTTGCTCACATACGAGGGTGGTCCGATAAGTACTTAGCCTCACCGCCCGATGGCGCTACTCTCGCAAAAGAAATATACTATCACGTAGTACAACCTTCTCGATGGTTACTGTCAAGATTTTTACCGGATCGGAGTTGTAGTTTATTTTTGAAAGCGTGTGAAAGCAAGTGTGTCCGTTGATTTTTGAAAAATGGAAAAAGAGCAGTATCGGTCGGTGATTTGATTCTTGTTTTTGGAAGGGAAATCGCGCAGCGAAATCAAAAAGCACTTGGATGCTGTGTACGGTGACTCTTCTCCTTCGATGGCGACCGTCAAAAATTGATTTAACGAGTTTCAACGTGATCGCACGTCAATTTTTGAAGAGCCACGTCCAGGTGCTCCGGAAACGGTTACCACGGAGGATAACATGACAAAAATTCACGATGTCGTATTGGCAGATCGACGATTGAAGGTGCGCGAGATAGCTAAGATTGTAGGCATCTCAAAAGCCCGCGTGGGTCATGTCCTGCATGAAATTTTGGGCATGAGAAAGCTGTCGGGGCGATGGGTGCCGCGTTTGCTCACTCCGGACAACAAGCGCAACCCGGCGAAAGTGCTCCGAAGAAGCCGAAGACTGCCCCATCGGCCGGAAAGGTGATGGCCACCGTTTTCTGGGATTCACAAGGTGTGATCTACATCGACTATCTGAAGAGGGGCAAAACGGTCACAGGGCTGTACTATGCCGAATTATTGGGCCGATTTGACGTCGAATTGCAGAAAAAACGGCCCCATTTGGCGAAGAAAAAAGTGCTCTTCCACCATGACAACGCACCGGCTCACAGCTCCGCCGTCGCCATGGCCAAATTAGTCGAATTAGGCTACGAACTCTTACCCAACCCCATCCACTATATTCTCCAGATTTAGCCCCGTGCGACTTCTTTTTGTTTTCAAACTTGAAAAAGTCACTCGCCGGGCAGAAATTTGAGTCGAATGAGGAGGTAATCGCTGCCACGGAAGCCTACTTTTTAGACCTCGAGGAAACGTATTTTTCAGACGGGTTAAAGAAGTTGAAACATCACTGGGCCAAGTGTATCGAACTAAAAGGAGACTATGTTGAAAAATAAAATGCCACTTTTCCAAAATTTTCGTTTTTCTTTTGTAGGCTAAGTACTTATTGGACCACCCTCGTATGCTTGATCTTATTAGGAGCCTGTTTATGAAAACTATTAATTTATTGTAATTTGCATTCAAGCTTTTAATGTTTATGCATACTATTATTTTTTTTCTATTTCTAAATATTTATTTAAGCTGCATATGTTATTAATTGTTTTCTTTTCAGTAAGTAAATTACTTTCAATATCATTATCCATGTTTCTTATTGTTTGCTTGTTTATCCGTTGGACTTAGCGTCGATAGGTAAGCGAGCAATGCATTACTTAGTATTCTAAGTCTTAAATTATTTATCCTTTGTTGTGCTTTAGCGCATTTGGTTTTGCCAAAGTACCATTGAAAAGTCGGCTTAATGGAATAATCTGTCATTTCAATGTATTTTTAAATTTTATTTTTGAGTATTTCACAATTGTGGTTATCATTTAGAGAATGTTTATCATTATAGTTTGTTTGGAATTTATCGTTATGATAAGTGCAATTTGGACACGTAAATGTATTATCAAAAAAATTCAGCTGGAAATCCAGGCTGGATTTCCACATGAATATCTACCTGGATATATGGATTTATATGGATTCCATATGGATTTGAGTTGAATTTCCACGATGGATTTCCAGGTGGAATCTAAATGGTTTTCTCTTTAAATCCAGGTAGATTTCTTGGCCAATCCAGGTGGATTTCTTGGCCAATCCAGGCGGATTTCTTGGTCAATCCAGGTGATTTCACAGAAAATCGTCGTGGATTTTTCAGCCGATCCAGGTGGATTTTATAGTCGATCGAAATGGATTTTACGGAAAACCCTCGTGGATTTTTTAGCCGACCCAGGTGGATTTTTTGGTGGATCGAAATGGATTTCACAGAAAATCCTCGTGGATTTTTTGGTAAATCGAAATGGATTTTGCGGAAAATCCTGGATTTCTCAACAGATCCAGGCGAATTTTTTAGTGGTTTCAATATGAATGTTATGGAGAATAAAATGGATTTTACAGGAAAACTATGTGAATTTATTAACCGATGAAGGTGGATTTCTTTGTCAATCCAGCTTGATTTTTGGCGGATTCAAATAGATTTTACAAAAAATGCAGATTTACGTCAATTTTTTTGAAAATTTAGGCAGATTTTACAACCATTTCACGGGTTTAAGTCATTACCCACTGGATTTTATGGTAAATATGGGGGAAATTTTTAGTATTAATTAGGGCATTTTCGATACATATAATACGGTAATCATGTTTTGCGAAGGATTGCTGATTCAGTACGAAAAAAATACATATAAATTTTATGATCCTTATTACAAAGAATTTATTGGCATTCATATAGGAAATAAGTTAGAAAAGAATCATTTATTAATATTACTTCACCTTATTATATACCTTATTTCATAACCATGTTATTTTTTTAGGAAAACTAAACATAACTAACTTTTTTATACATTATTTCAACATTATTAAGATTGAACAAAATAATGTAGGGTTAGTGGTGGAAGATCTTTTTCCATTAACCCTATTGGTTTCTATCTTGTATTCATATGAAACTCATTACGGATTAAATTTTTTCTTTTGATTTTTCACGCACTTATTGATCTCTTCTGTTATTATGGCGCTTTTTAGCGACAATCTTTCTTATTTCTTCTAAACTCAATTTAGCGGTTTTGTTCAGATAAGTCTTCAAACACTCTGTAATAAAATAGTGATTAATTAGATTACAATATTTGATAATTCGCAATGTAATGAACAAATACATATACTTGTAAGTGTTGAATGCTCATCTAAACTGAGAGGAACTCGGCGATTAACGCCTCTGGGTGTATATGATGGCCTATCATTTGAAATGCACCTTTTACTGAGGTTTTCCATTCTCATTTGTGGGCATTAACCGTAAAATGTACTTTGTAAATTTGCTTACGTCTATCATTTTTAAACCATTTTTCCATTCGTCATACAAAATTTGCATGTCCTTATTAAGTATGTGGTCTAAAATAAAATATATATAATTTCATAATTACTGCCAACATTATAATGATGAAAAGTCGTATAATGAAAATTGTATACTCACTGACACATTATCCACATTTGTTACAGTTTCTTTGTGTCCAAAATTAGCAAAATACGATGATTCGTTTGCCGAATCGTCCGTATTTGCATCATTATCGACATTTCCTTTTTTATGAGCCTTCTTCAAAAGGCCAGCCGATATTTGCATGAAATCTTGAGAAGATAATTTACTTTGAGAAACATTTCTCAAGCTGCTGGCAAGTAATTCTACGATACCTGAATCAGATGTTTCTTCACTACAATCAGAACGGTGTTTTTTGGTTGGAATTTTTGGAGATATAGCCAATTCATCACTGAAATCCAATCTCTCTAAAAATATTTATTGAAAATATAGTAACGAAGTAAATTTTTAAATGTATAATGTTATTCTTACTTTTCCTCGAGGAATGTGTTCTTTTTGTCTTTTCATTTTCCATTTTATCATCCAAATTCCTGCCAGAAATGGCATCAATTTCCATGTCATAATTACTGTCATCTACATTTGTATCATAGACAGGACTGGGTAGTTCTGACGTTTCCTTTAGGGATTTATTATCAAGTGAGCTACCTTTATCTTCTACAAAAGTTTTTGGTAAAGTATTCATTGGAGGCACTGCTTGGTTCTTACTATACAACCTATGCTGCGGAGTGGATGATAGCAGCCTGTTTGCCAATGGACTCTTCAGAAAGAATTCATATAATTACATTAATTTCATTATTGTTACTATTATTATTGTTTTTAATATTATTATCATTATTACTATTATTATTTAGATAACATTGCTAAACTAAGGGAGAAATATCGCAGTCTAAGGCTAGAGCTGAAGTAGTCCATGGATTGGCTGAACGCAAGGTCGCAAAAAAAGCACTGGGTCACATGATTAACCGAAGCAAAGCAAATTAATAGAAGATATTACATGAGGAGATATGTATTGACCCGTAGAAGTTTGGATACAAGATAGTCACCAAAAAACTAGGAGCTTTATTGCTGCTGGGAAAGATGGATGCGGCAACGATTGCTAATATTATCAGCACGCTTTTCACAACCTATCCAAAGAGACAAAAAGAGGAAAAATATTTAAAGGTATTTATTTGAGAAATAGGAAAAACATAGGCATAATGATTGTTGTACTGAAGAGGCTAGTCTACAAAATAAATCTCTTGGACGGGAGCCATAAAATTTTAAATGCGTATAGAATTTCAAAAATCTAATTTGGTTTGTATTCGAAATTCGTTTGGCTTTATGAAATCAAAATTGAAAGTATGACATTGTATTTCTCAATCACGTGAATTTATCTAAACCCAGATCGTTTTTTCATAATGTACCTAAATTAGAGGCCTGCAATGGCTCGGTCGGTAGGGCGACGGACTCGCACCCGGTAGGCCCGGGTTCGATTCCCAGTTCCTGCTGATTGATACAAGCACCACTGAAAAAAGTTTCATGTGCTTTGTTCTCAAACACATTGCAAGCCTCCGTCGCTGATTAGCACTGATGAAGCATAAATAGAGCGACGTTAAAAATAAAAAAAAAAAAAAAAAAAAAAAAAATAATGTACCTAAAATCAAGGTGAATGTATTATTAAAAAAATCAATCAAAACATTCTTGAGATCCAAGAGGGATTTCTAAAATCCAGATGGGCTGACATCCATAAATTGAGTTTTTCAAATTAGATTGAAAAAAAATTATAAATAACTTTTTTCAATAATCATAGATTTTCAAAAATCTATCTGTAACAGATAGATTTTTAAAAATCTATGAGGATGTATGTACTCGTATCTATGTGGATTTTGAAGATTTCATGATACGGAATTTAGACCACTTAGATTTTAGTATGTAATTCCATATTCTATCCTGATGATTCTATGGGGATACATATGAAAAAACAGATATGCAGAAGTTTCAGAGTACGAATAATAATTCCACGGGTTAATGTTTTTCAACTTTCTGATTCATTCTTTCGAAGAACCATTAACCTTTTGAAGAACGGAATACGAGATACTTAGGGTGTAAGTTTCTCTTTTCAAAATTTAGGGTAGCACTTTATGTAATTAGTTATAAACAATCAACAATGAAAACATGTAGAGATTTTACATTCAAATCAGCCGTGCACTCATTTTACAAGCAATTTTACTGAAAACTGGTACACTGGGCATTTCGAGGTTACTGGTTATGAACCCAGTGTCAAAATTGAAAATTTGAAATGGCGGATTCAAAATGGCAGCCTGATGATACGAAATTTTTTTTGTCCGCCATATCGAATCCGCTATTTTTAATTTTGAAAATAATCAGATTCGTAATCAGCGACCCCTAGAACTAATATATACGAAAACTAACTTTTCTATGGTAATTTTGGAAATTTTCGTCTGCCATTTCGAATTTTCAAAATCTTACTTCAGATCCGTAATCAGCGATCCCTAACACCCTCATAACCACTATTAAATCCGGAATACGTCCTCTACAAAAATGTGCTTCTCAGTGGGTTAAGGTTAGTGTCTCTCCATTTCAGTTCGTTTAAAAAAGTCTATATATGCTACACTTACCGTAGCATCCAATTTTTTTTTTTTGCAGCATCTATTTTGGATATCTCTTCAAATTCCTTTCCGTATCGCAAAATATTTAGTTGCGATCTTTTGTTTAGTATACGATAAGTTTCTATTCTTTCATTCAATAAATCATTGCCATTCTTCAGCCTTATGTTTTCTGTTTTAAAAATCTCACATTCATACTCCAATCGTTTTATTTTTGAATTTAAGCTATTTTCTTCGTCCTTCATCGCATTATCCAAGTATCTGAATTTTGGTGATTCATTATTCCCGTTTTTAAAATGGGAAACGTTGTTCAGCAGCGGCTAGTGAAGTACTAACGTTTGCGACTGCATAAATTTGTTCTTCGTCTCAATAACATCTTTTTGTGCCTCAATGTCAACTTTCTGAAAAGGTATATACGCAAAAATTTATTTGAGATGTTTCTCGTAGTTCCTAGTTTTTTGAACCGAGCGTGTCATAGATACAACAAAATTACATAGAATCTTAGTAAGGAAGAGAGTCTACTTTATTCGCTCCTTCGTTTAACACGTTTTTCCGTTACGTATTTCATTTTTATCAGCTGGGTCCGCGCATCAACCCGCTGAAAAGAACTCCGTTTATAATAAAAAAAAAGACTCACCGACGCTTTTTCCTTATTTTTCTTCTTTGTTGCATTTTTTGGTGGCTGAGACTTTGGCACTTTGGAATGGTACACAAGGATCATATGCAGGTTGATTCTGAAACATATGAAGAGTTTGGTACCATTCGATTCGTTTTGAAAAATGGAATAAGATGGCACAGTTAAAATTTTTTTTTGATAATTAGTCAATTAGATAATCGCGATTGAATGTCAGCCAATGAGCGGCTGGCTACGGCCGACGGGCCGCGCGACGGCGAGTCGCGACGGAGAAGGGAGGTCGACTCGCGCATGTTATTCAACAGGTGACAGAGGTGCTCAACTCTTGACCTGTTACTGCTAGCAGCCGTTATGTTGACGTATTTTGATATTATGAATATCAATAATAATATGGATAAAATTATTAAAATATACGTTGCAATGTAATAATGCATTACATTGTTTTGTATCGTAAAAAAACATGAATTTTATGAAATCAATAAAAACATGTGTTGTACATGCGCTTTTACGAAAATATTGCACATTGTGCAATTACTTGCATGTTTAATAAACGCATATTAAACTATACGAATAGTTACAATAGGCATTACTTACATTGTAGCTACATACAATACAATACGTGAAATACATTTTTCAAACAAACAATCAATCAATCAATCAATAAATTGATTAATTAATGGTCTGCATTAGTTGCAATAGGGTAATGGATTTAACGCTATTTATTTAATTATCTCAACTTAAGCATCGAATTTTCGATAGTTCAAGGATTTGAATATTTTGTAATATGCAAACTCTCAAACAGTCAAACATCAATAGTTCCAAACAAATGAATAGTAATTTTTTTTTTTTTGCTATTCATTTGTTCATTACTATTGATAGACTTAGTTGCAAAATTTTCTTGACACGGTGTACTCCATCGTTGCAAAATGGCAAGAAGAAATGCTTATTCCAACGAGGAGTACACCGATATGGTGTTGTGCTTGGGCTGGGCTGAGGGTAATGCGAATGCAGCTGCTCGACGGTACGCTGAGCTTTACCCTCTCAGAGCACAACACCCCAATCCTCGGACGATAGAAAATACCGTGAGGAGGTTGAGGGAAACGGGCAGTGTCGTGGTCAGGAATCCTGATGGAGGACGCCAACGCCAACGCGATCACCTTCATGACCCTATCGTTGCAGCTTTCGCCATCGATCCGACAGACAGCTTGCGATCTGTTTCGCGGCAAGTCTCGGCGGCGTTAGGTGTGGCGTGTTCGTACAGCACTGTACAACGGGTCATGAAGGATGATGATCAACATGCGTATCATCTCCGGGGAGTGCAGTCACTAGGTAAGTGCATAATTTGTTATTTATAGCGGTTATGTATTCGCATGTAACGACAGGAGGTCGATCCTGTAGTAACTTTGATATGCTGACGGATACAGTATTTATTTTTATGTTTTGATCAATTATATCTCGGTTTGTATTAAAGACAATGGACCGTTTAATCATTTATTAGAACCTGGAGATCCGCAACAGAGATTGAGGTACTGTCATTGGCTTGTGGACGCGGTTGACGAAGATCCTAACATCTTGGATCGCATTTTATGGACGGATGAATCCACTTTCGGGCGAATCGGAATGTTCAACCAACACAATGAACATGTGTGGGCCCACGAGAATCCATTTGCGGTGCGAGAAGGTATATTTTAAGAATAATATTGTATTTGCTTGCACAACAAAATATTTAACAATATTTTTCAACATAAATTAGATCGTTCGCAGCATAGATATGCCGTAAATGTATGGGCTGGTGTGATTCGTGACCGAATTGTGGGTCCATTCCGTCTACCGCGAAACCTCAATGCTGGTGCGTACCTCGATTTTCTGCAACATGATCTGCCAGCTCTTCTAGATGACGTCCTCCCAGATCAAAATAACATCATCCTGATGCACGACGGAGCCCCAGCCCACTTTGCGCAGCCTGTCCGGGACTATCTCGACGAGGTAATTGATTACTGTTTGTTTTTTATTAATTTATAAAAAAAAGTATACTGATTTCTATATTTTTCCAGTCTTACCCTGAGTGGATAGGCCGTGGTGGTACCGTAGAATGGCCAGCACGTTCCCCAGATTATAATCCATTGGATTATTATGTTTGGGGAACGTGCAAAGAGGCCATCTACTCTAACGGTCCACCTGGCAACGCAGATGGATGCTGGCAGGCTGTTCAAGAGTGGGCAGAAAATGTGGCACCCGATCAAATACATAGAGCGACGCTCCAAGTTTTACGAAGAGCTCGCCTATGTATACAAATGGATGGGGGCCACTTTGAACAATGCATGAAGGCAGGGGGGGATCCTGGTGATGGAGTAGGCAACGAGGAGCTTGAGAGGGATCCAGAAGATGATAACGATCCAGACTGGGAGATGGACGAATAGAAAGAGGTAAGTCGTAGAAAAGTCGTAAACAAAGTCGTTGGGTTATTGGGTTATTGGGTTCATAGAAAAGTCGTAAAACAGTCGTAAAAAAAGTCGTAAAAAAGTCGTAAAAGTCGTAAAAAAGTCGTAAGCAAAGTTGTTGGGTTATTGGGTTATTGGGTTAAAGAAAAAAGTCGTAAAAAAGTCGTAAAAAAGTCGTAAAAAAGTCGTAGAAAAGTCGTAAGCAAAGTTGTTGGGTTATTGGGTTATTGGGTTAAAGAAAAAAGTCGTAAAAAAGTCGTAAAAAAGTCGTAAAAAAAGTCGTAGAAAAGTCGTAGAAAAGTCGTAGAAAAGTCGTAAAAAAGTCGTAAAAAAATCGTAAGCAAAGTTGTTGGGTTATTGGGTTATTGGGTTAAAGAAAAAAGTCGTAAAAAAGTTGTAAAAAAGTCGTAAAAAAAGTCGTAGAAAAGTTGTAAAAAAGTCGTAAAAAAGTCGTAAAAAAGTCGTAAAAAAAGTCGTAGAAAAGTCGTAAAAAAGTCGTAAAAAAGTCGTAGAAAAGTCGTAAGCAAAGTTGTTGGGTTATTGGGTTACTGGGTTAAAGAAAAAAGTCGTAAAAAAAGTCGTAAAAAAGTCGTAATAAAGTCGTAAACAAAGTTGTTGGGTTATTGTGTTTATTGGGTTCGTAGAAAAGTCGTAAGCAAAGTTGTTGGGTTATTAGGTTAAAGAAAAAAGTAAAAAAAATATAATATTTTCCATTTATTTGCAGTGTTTGGCGGAATTGCGGTCCTGGCTGGAGATTTCGTTAAACTTTTTGTTATTGTTGTTAATTTTTTTTTTCATTATTTATTATTAATTTATCTTATTATTATGTTATTGTTATTATTGTTTAAGTTATTGTGTTAAAAAATGTTATTGTTCAGAAATTGTTTATTATTAATAAGTTTTACAAATAAAAATTAATATAAAAAATGTAAAATTATTTTTTAATTCGACGCGCGTTGTCGCATATCCGCGTCAGAGCTAGCCGATATCTATCCGTCGCCATTTTTTCCGCCCCCGTCGAAATCTTGTTAACCAATTCTGGAAAACAAAAACAAGAATAATTACTTTTCAATGATTATATTATTAGATAATATCTTACCGAATACGCCTTCATAAATGGCTTGCGGAATGGCAACCGTACCGGCTTTCCCGGTAGGTGTCATGCGACGAAGCTCATCTTTGATCACCAGCATGTTGATGAGCTTCGTCACCAGTTTTTGTGGGTCCCCTTTGTATTTTTCGGTTATGTTGTCCAATTCAATTTGGACAACATAAACCGAAGAACTATCACAAAGCCGTACCTATAACAATAAGTATTGTTATTTTTATATTAGTTGTATGTATCGTGTGCGTATGAATGTATGTTTTTTTAAGCGTTATGTCCGAGTGTGCTTGGCAGTGTGTGTGTACCTGTATGTGAGATTGCAAGAGTACGTGAGCGCATGCGAACTAGTGTGGTTGTATGTGCGTGGGCTTGTGAGCTTGCAAACGTGCGTGAATGCAATGTGCATGTGAACGTGTATGCGCATGCATCGGTGTGTGTGTAGATGAGCTTGCAAGCGTGCGTAAGTACTGGCTGTATACAGCGGGTGTGCGTGTGTATGTTTATAAGCTTGCAAGCGTTAGTAGGCATGACCCTGACGTCTGTAAGAGCTGTGTATGTATGTTTTTTATTGTATGAGTATATGAATGTATGTATGTATGTATGTAAGTTGCCCTACATTGCCATTTCGGGGTTCCAGTCCGGCAAACTCCTTTCTCAAAATCCTCTTCAAAATAGCCTCCTCGTCATTATCTCCCGAATCTAAAAAATAATCATATTTTTATTAATATAATAGATTAACAATTTTTTTATTTAAATTACCTTCACTGCGCTCATTTCCAAGAATCACCTTACCATCAGTCGAAACTTCCAATTCGTTTAAATATTCCCTGTCATCTAAATAAACATTAAAGGTTAATAATGTGTATATGATAATTGTACTAACTTACCATTTGCTGCCACCAAATCCACTGCAAGCCATTTACGCCCGTATTTTGCCTCGTGCAATACTCCTACACGACGCAAATTCTCGGACGCCACGACACTGCACTCTTTACTATTTTTCCACAAGACCAACGAAAACATTCTTGCATGCGCATGTAGTACACAACACTTATTTGTTTTGAAAATATTGTTCAATAAACAATATGAAGTTATCGTTGCTGGCATTTAGTTATTCTTTTATGCCTCGTTCGAAATTTCATCAATGTTTTTATTCATTTTGTACAATTCATGTTTTTTACAATACAAAACAATGTAATGCATTATTACATTGCAACGTATTTTTTAATAATTTTATCCATATTATTATTGATATTCATAATATCAAAATACGTCAACATAACGGCTGCTAGCAGTAACAGATCAAGAGTTGAGCACCTCTGTCACCTGTTGATTAAAATGCGCGAGTCGACCTCCCTTCTCCGTCGCGACTCGCCGTCGCGCGGCCCGTCGGCCGTAGCCAGCCGCTCATTGACTGACATTCAATCGCGATTATCTAATTGACTAATTATCAAAAAAAAATTTTAACTGTGCCATCTTATTCCATTTTTCAAAACGAATCGAATGGTACCAAACTCTTCATATGTTTCAGAATCAACCTG